AAAGATTTTGTGAGTTCCAATCCACCAATGAATTAATGTGCCAACTCATTGGTGTTTAGGATAAGATGAGCACCGGTGCTCATTAGATCATTTCTGTATATATATATATTACTTAGCAAACACAATAACTTTGGCACCAGAGAACGAATGAAAATAAAAAATAATAATTTGAGCTCCTTCAATATCAAGACAAATTTCAAGCTCTCAAGGGAAGCATGACTGAAACATTACATTACCCGAGATGAAATTACAAGACGATGGAACGTCAGTATTTATCCTTGTTTAACTAAGAATGCTTGCAATAAAGCCAGCTTAGATTCCTCAAATTTATTTCAAGTTCATAATATTGTGGATGACGACAATAAAAAGTATTTGCCGATCCTTTCGAAAAATGTATGATTAAACAGCAAGCTCAAATCTTCAACGGTTTTGTATGAGCCGAACTTCTCATGGACAAATGAAGTACCTCTAAGCAGTCTTGTCTGCCAAGTTAGAAAAATGAACATTTCGTAAGAGTTGGAGGAAAAAGCTGATGTTGGAGCATCCGACTCAAATGACGCTAAACTGTCAGACAGCACGTTGATTGCACTAAAATATCACGAGTTGGCAAATCAACACAAATATGGCAAGTGAACATAGTCTTTCCTAAGTGGGCGACATTTGGACGAGTTTTGATAATTTGACCATAACTTTGGTTACGGTTATCGAAATTGCACTCATAACCCAAATTCAGAAAACTCTTTCCGGCACGTACATCGTGGCCACCGAGCTATGCTCGGACCGAATCATTTTCGACTACAAAATCCGCGTTTTTCCCTTTTAAATTACAATTTTAAGTTATTTTTTTTTACATTTTTTAGTAATATTTCGTTTGCCTTTTTAAGATAAGATAGATTATGAACCAGGATTGAATTGAATTTTTTGGATTTTATTTCTTTTATTACGTACTATCTTTTGGTATGAATATTGAAATTTTCCTATTTTTGGTAAAATTCCGATAATTTTGATTTCTTTAGCTATATAACTCGGCTTGTGGGTTATTTTCCGATTCATTAATTGAATAATAAAGATTTCTCTTTTCTTGGACGTTTTCTCTCTTTTTCTCGTGTTCTTCTCTATCCATTACACGTTACTACATGCCTGCAAAATAATCTCTATTCTTCCCGACGTCAAAAGCCTAAAGTTCTCAAAGCTTTTTCGATGCATAGAAAGCGGTCTAGATGTGAAGCATCTGGTTTAAAATTAGAATCTTAATAGTTGGTGATGTTGTATACATGTTGGCATGTTTGGTAAGTCGGAGTGAATTATAATGGTTAGCAAAGGAAGAAACATAATTAAAAACTTATCTATAGTATTGTTCAATCGTATTTAATATTGCTTATCATACATAACCGTGAGCTTGGCTTATTAGTTATAGCACTAATATTTAAAGAAATAAACTCTAGGGGTTTCACATGATGGGAACAAATCATAAAATTGTATGTGAAAAATATATTGTTGCATTACTCATAACTGCCCGTTAGAAGAAATATACCCATAAAATCTCAAAGGGGTTTAATGAAAATGAAAATAACTTGCCTGATCAATTTCGGAGAACTTGGCAAATAAGTCATCAGGTATAGACCAATCGAAAACATCAAAGTTCTCTTTGATCCTTGATTCATTTGTGCTCTTGGGTAGTACACTATGACCCATCTGTAAACCCCATCGAAGAGCAACCTGAGCTGGAGTTTACCCAATTTTTCTGCTGTAGTAACTATAACAGGATGCTTGAGGACATCGATCTTGTACATCGCCGTTCCAGGCGAACCAAGTGGTGAATATCCTTTTTAATAAAATTAAAAGGTTAATTAAAATGCAAAAAGAATTCAACGATAAGACCGTTCTCAGATTTAAACTTTCAATTGTGAGCCAAGCAATTATGATTATCAAATTGAAATATAATTACCCCCACTATCACAGAGAGAGAAGACCAATATTAGTTTCCTCATTCTCAGAGACATGAAAATTAAGCAACCGAATTTTGCCAACTCACAGAGAGGTGAACTCCCTTTGATCTACAGAATTTTCGTAGTTTGGTCTGCTGCCACACTGGATGGCTCATGGCACTCGAATGCGAGCTACATCCAATAGATCACCTAAGCTTTTTGGTGGAGACATTGCAAATTCCAATAGCTCGGGCTTTACCAGAGTCATAGAGTGCTTCCATAGCCTTCCATGTGGTAGGTATGTCAACTGGAACAAAGTCTTCTGGATTAATGCCAACAGCCCCCTTTGTCAACCGGGCAGACCAATGGATCCTCACAATTAGACAGGTCCATTCATTAGCCCATGATACAATTTTTCCAACAGTAAAGATGCCAAATATCCCTCTCAAAAGAAAAGAACAGAAAGAACTAATTACGCACCACTATTACAAATGATTTCAACTTTGACAGCCAGGAAATCAGACCAATAATTAAAGCAGCTTTAATGTATTTACTAATGGATCAAGCTGATTCTGTGTTATTCTAGATCTTAGAATTCATGAATACTGTCTTCTTATAAGGCCATCTTGCATTAACTCTTAAATGGTCAAAAATTTAACAAAAGGCTAGCATCACGAAAATATACATGCAAGATACAAATCAAGGTAGTCAACTTGCAAATCTTCCTAAGTATCATCTAATGCCATGGGTACATCTTCTGGTGCATGATCAGCACACCTTCAGAAGTTAAAGAGATAATTTCTAGCTTCAAATGCTTAAAAAGTCAATCAATAAAGTCCAGATGTTAAAGAGAAGAGAGAGATGAAGCAATTAGTATATGAACTACAATGTTCACGCACCTCAAAACTAGCCTTGCATCAAACCCAAAACGAAAGTGAAACAGCAAGTGCATAAAGAGTATTTTGTATCTAAATATGCACAAATTACAAAGCTGACAGTACCACTGCATAATGCACATCCATTTTAATGGAAAATTATTTCTCGCTCCATATAATGGAAGATGTTCTTTTTGCACACTTCAAAATTGAAGTAGCTCACATTGACTGGTTTCATCAATCTGCTTTACATAGCAAATAATCATCTTCAGATATTAACTATCACAATGAATTCAGAACCCGATAACATCTTGAATAAGTTCGTAAACATAATTTGATTACCAGAGTTTGGAGGTAAAACATAAATCCTCCCTCTTCACAACTCTATCATCCAACAGCTTCTTTGTAACTGAACCAATCTGCAAAGAAGGAACAGAAGACGAGTCTCATACACATATATAGCCCCTATTTGTTGCAGTTAACAATAAGTTTTTTAGTTGATTTTTTATAAAATTTGATAAAATGTTTGACTGAAAAGTTGATAAGAGTTGTGAGTCCCATGAAATGTTTGGTTAAAATCAATTGTTGACTTCAATTAAATTTTTATCAACTATTAACGCTACACCAGCAGGGGCATAGTGATAGTACATGTGAAATTGGAGTCCTATTTTGCCAAAAATATCCCATTGTCCTTTGAACCAAAATGGGATAAAAGCCTCATTATCTCCATGTCACTGTTATGTGAAAACTTTAAGCTATTATAGCTCTTATCCACATCAATCTGCCAGTGAAGTAACCAAATCACTACCCCCAAATGAATTACATTTTTCATTTCAAGAGAAGAGAAATCCACAAAAACACACACACGGTTTACTAATGTATCTTTACTTGAATAAGAAGGCATCTTGTGCCTAAATACCTCCTTTTCATTTCTATAGGATGGAGCACAGTCAATATGGCGGTATCCAACCTGCATAAAAGCAGCAGGGATTGATCCACAAATATAGAAAGACAATTATTCTCACTTCCAAACTAGAAAATCTAAGAATGAGCACACGACAATTTTCACACTACAAAATGAAAATATTTTTCCATTAAATTTCATCTGTGCTCATGTATGAGATGAAAAAAATATCTGCGCTAACCGCAAGCGATATCAAACTGAAGCAACTCTCATATTTTCCTGCTTCATTATTCATTCTCAACATAATTCAATAATCACCAGAAAATGCTATAACAAACTCACCACTGCCGGCATTGCCGTTGCTCTGAGTTAATGCAATGGCTAGCAGCAATGGTCAGCCACAGAGCAAAATTGATAACATAACCAAAAGTATAAACGCTGCAACAAATATTTAACATACGGACTTATGCAACAATCCTTCAGATATAAAGCATGTAGTCCAATTCTAGGCTCTAGCAGTGGACCAGTAATTAGCGCTGTTAGAAGTCTACAGGCCAATATATTAACATAAATTCTGGACCGACATCCTCCAATTTCATTTTTGCGTCCTAATTTTTTTCCAAACAAATCACTGAAATAGGAGTGGAACCAAACTCCATAACATTTTCTAAATTTAAACTTGAACTAAATCCACACAACTCTAAATGTCCTAAATAATCTCATTATACATTCAGAATTATAATATAATGATGGACATTTCGATATGCAAACGTTCATGAAAAAATAAAAATAAGATATACATTTCCACATACAAGTTAAATTAAAAAAGAAAAATGTCATTCATCTCCAGTGGAGATGCATCCCCAGTGGATGTAAATGATTGGTTAAATGATAGACGCCACATAACAGGGGATGAATAGCATTTCTCATTAAAAAAACATACAAGTTCAATTAAGTTCCACTGAAGATAAATGTTAAAACACACGAAGATATGCATACGCATAGGGTTAATTTAACCAATGATCACTGAATTTTGTTATAGGTTACCACTTGCACATCGAAATTCAAAAAGTTACTCTTTCTTCATTGAACTTTGTTATATGTTACTACTTGCTATTCGAAATTTAAAAGGTTACGTGTAACTCATCCAAATTTGAATAAAATTACTCATTAATTACCCGTATCATTACCATAATTGTTAATCATAGCAAAGTTAAGTGAGGAATGAGTAATTTTGCTCGAATTTAGGTGAGCAATGAGTAAATTTTTAAATTTCAGTAAGTAAACAGTAATATACAGCAAAAATCAGTGAACAGTAATGTATAGCAAAAATCAGTGAGGAATAACTTTTTAAAGATTGATGAGCAAGGAGTAACCATTGCAAAATTCAGTGGCCGTCGATTAGATTAACTCCATACGCATATATGGTGTACATATGTATGTAGAAGGAGCGGCGATCGGCGACCTTGATGGCGGTTTCAACAGCTCGACCGACGACACCAGGGTTTGCCTGCCACGTGCCAAGCCGACCGAGGGGGTTTTTGCTCCGGTGTTCAACACGAAATGCAGAACCTCCTTTTCCATTATCTAGATTCACAATTTGTTTTCAGATATAGAATTGAAAGGTTGAATATTGAACAATGAGGCATCGAATAATTTTTTCTGCTTGTAAGTGAATCTTGACACGTGTGTCTTATGATTTGATGTGGAAATCATAGCCGCCAGCTCCGCTTGGGTACAGGATCAACTGCTAATATCTCTGGGAAGAAGCCTGACCCGCTTGTAATTTTGAGCCATGCTAGGGAGCCCGGGTTTGCATCCAGGCTTTGGTTACCGACGCCATGTGGCGTCATTTCATTGGAGGGGGGCCTGTTCAAATAGGCCCCCCTCCAATGAACCGACTCCCGAGTTTGCACCCAGGCTTTGGTGACCGATGCCATGTGGCGTCATTTCATTGGAGGGGGGCCTGTTCAAATAGG